AAACCCACCGAGATAATATTTATTTTTTAAAACAAGACAGTTATTATTATTGTCAACCATTTTACCGGGGTTTACCACTACACCGGCTAACGTGACCTGGGGGAAGGGAAAAACAAAAGGACAGAGACTACTCTAATCAGTGTATTGAGGAAGCATATGTCTCTGCACTATCCAAACCCAGATCTGAACTTTAGAAAAAAAGTACTAAGAAAAACATCACTCTGTAACATGTATCACTACCTTTACTCCCCATGCATATACAATTAAGCGAACTATTCTAAAAATTGGCACATTTTGGCTGGAGATCCAGCACTGAAAGGGGCTTTTCAACATCCACCCCTTTTTGTCTACAAAAGGGATCCCAATCTACGGGACAAAGTAGTGAAAGCCAATATTTTGCCACATCCATAACAGTCAACTCTCACTCCTCTGCAGCAAGGAAACTATCCCTGTGGAAACTAGTGCCACAATACTGTTAAAACGTCTGAGTTTTGGCATTCGAGAACAGGAAAAAGATTTTTGATTAAGGGCATAATTACTTGTAATTCAAAGAATGTAATTTATTTGTTAAAATGCCCCTGCAACAAAATCTATATTGGAAAAACATGGCTGCATGGTGGCGCAGTGGTTAGCACTGTTGCCTCGCAGCACGAAGGTTGCAGGTTCGAAACTCAGCTCGGCTGCGGCCTTTCTGCGTGGAGTTGCGTGTTCTCCCCATGCATGCGTGGGGGTACTCCGGTTTCCCCCACAGATCACAACATGCCCTATAGGATATAAATTGTAAGTCGCTTTGGATAAAAATTAAATACAGCTTAGCCTAAATGAATAAACATAAACATAAAAACAACAAGGCCGCTCAAACTGAGGATCAGTGAACACAAGAGTTCAATTAGGAGAAAAGACTTGACCTATCCAGGATCACGCCATTTCAATGACTTTTCACACCCAGTGTCTTCACTCAGATTCTAGGAGACTGAACATATTTCACTACACATAGGAGGTGATATAGATAAAAAACTCTGCCAAAGGGAACCACTCTGGATTTACACGTTGAAAACACTTCCACCACTAGGTTTAAATGAGGACTTTGAGATGTCTGTGTTTCTTTAAAGATAGCATACACTGCTGTGTTTTTATACTTCTCTGCCTTGCTGTATGACGGCTTTCTTAGCTTGATGTTTGCAAAATACAAATCTCTCACTTCCTGAGCAGATTTAGAATGTTTTCAATATTAAGTGGAATGTTTTCATTATCTGAGACTACATTTCCCATGATACTTTGCTATATTCAGCCACACAGGTGTTTTAAATCACACGACCTGTTGAACTAAGGATTGTTTGGTGTAAACCTCCACAATTCCTGATGAAGGTCTCTGACCGAAAGCTTGACCGATAAACTCCTACATCGCAGATTGAAGTGTGCGGATTCTCATTTTGTTTATTCCACTTTTTGATCCAGCACCTTTCCCCAGATGAGCGGTGACTCCTTCTATTGTGGATCGATGTTTTCAAAGGTGGCGGAGGCAGAGGAGTTGAGTGTCAGAAGGTTGCAGGTTCAATCCTTGTTCAATCTGTCGCTGTTGTTGTGTCCTTGGGCAAGACACTTAACCCACACTGCCTGTTGGTGGCGGGTCCGGTGGCACCCGTGTCTAGCAGCCTTGCTTCTGTCACTGAGCCCCAGGGCAGCTGTGGCTACATTGTAGCTCATCACCACCAGGCAGTGAATGTGTGTGTGCATGAGTGAATGACTGGTTCTGTTATGAAGCGCCTTGGGGGGGGGGGGTAAGACTCTAGAAGGTGCTTTATCAAATACGGGCCATTTACCAGTTATTGAAACAGATATTTCTTTGAGGTTTGGAAAAATTCAAGAGGTGTGGCCTTGTGATCAGACATTTGCAGGTTTGAAATGGTTTTTGATGACCACATCCCAGGTGTGCCTCTTACTGCTGGTGGGGACATCAGCAAGTTGCTGTGCGGGAAGTGTGCAACAGATTGTGATTTGGGAATGAAACTGAAGAGTGAGGAGCTCGCCCTGTTATTGGTGAGGTTGCCAGTTCAGACTTCGGCTCCATCCACGTCAGTCATTGTGTCCTTGGGCAAGACACTTCACTCTCTTTGCAGCATGTTTCTAAATGATCATACTCTTTGTTTTTGAAGAGTAATCGTAACTTTATTATTGACCAAAACAATTGTGATCCAGTTTCATTTGTGCTGTAATGAAGCAGCCTGACATTTTACATCATTTGGGTTTACATGTCGCATCACAAGATATATTCTCACTAGTTTACATTGTTTAACTGTTTTATCCTTGATTTAATCTCATTCTGTTACCTTTAGATGGCGACTGTGAGAATTTCCTTCAGATCAACAGAGAAACACCAAACCGCCCCAGATTCCAAAGCATTCCTGCTTTATTTCATCACATGCTATTACAACACAGCCATGGCAGACTGTGCTAAAGGTACAAACTGGACTGTTTGGGCACAAAGAACTGTGATACTTTTACAGAATGAATCAGTTAATTTGAACAGCTCTTTACATCAATACAGTCTATTCATTTTTTGTTTTACTTCTAACCAAAACGTTCACCAAACAGTGAAAATCCTAAACAAATATCACGTTCAACAAATCCCACAGAGGGGTGTGGGTGGGGTCATGAAGAGATTAGGATTCAGGCACTTAGAGATGGTGGTCCTTGGCTGCTGTGCTTCGTCACACTTCACAGACATCCTGACGCTGGGTGGTCTCCGCTGGATGAGGATGGAACATTCAAGAAATACAAATTAAAGGGATTTCAAGTTTTTCACAAGACATTGGTGGTCCTATTTACATCCCATCCTTTTAGTTCTCCAGCTGCACTCCCCTTCAGTCGCTTAAACTCTACAGTGTTTGATAATCGACACCAAAACGAACAACACAGTCTGACACGATCAATTTCTTTGTGGTTTTAATGTAAAGCAGGTGTCTTTTTATTTAGTGGAACAACTGATTTTCTCCTGAAACTTCTCTGTATTATTAAAGTGGATCGGTGCATGCAGCCAAAGGGCTTGCTTGTAATGGCTGGTGACAACCGAGACGCCTGGCGTCAGGTCTGAAGAGCCTCTCTCAGATGGACTGACCAGAGAGAAATGGAGTAAAGGGGAACGTTAACAGGCATTAGAAACATCAGGAGGACTTCAGAAAGCACAAAAACACCAACAAGAAGAGTCCACTGGAACTGACATTTAGTCTTGTGCATGTTTGGGCTCAGTACGGATTTATAAAGCTTCACTCTGATAATCAACAGCTGGCTAGGGACAACAGGAACAAACAGTAGATCCAGCAGCAGCAGCGTCCTCTAAACATCTCAGCCACACTTTACAATCGGAACCAGCAGGAAGTGCTCGGTGGTTGTGGAGAACTTTTAGTGTCGTTTGATTTTTGGTCGCAGCGAAATGGAAAGCTTAAGTTTATTTGACCTTCACGTGTCATTCACAGCTACCTGGCTTCAATTGTTAATTTGGACGATGCCCGAACTTTTCAAATTAGTAGGTGAAATTTAAAAAGATACTGTAAACTGGGTCTAAGGAGGTTAAACTGGTCAGCAGAGTGTGGGTTAAGCTGGGCATACACTGTGTGACTTTTGGCCCATTATGAGCCAATTTTCCTCAGGATCCACAATGTTTGAGGTCGGGGGGAGTTTTGTGTCATGTAGGATAGGCAGCCTAAGTCACGCCCATCTACGTCCAGACCATGGTTCTTCAGAAATAAGGAAATGATTGCAAGTCAATGGGGCTATAAAAGTTATTTTCTACTCCCGGTTGTATGTGCCATGGATTTCACATATGATGTTTGTGAATTTTGAATACACATCTTGATGCCACAAAAGTCCTTATTTTCAAACGATGGCGAAAGTCATTTTAGGTGAAAAGACGTGTGGGACTACAAATGTCCGTCTCTTTTTTCTAGAAAAACAATAATTTTACAAAATTAATAAAGAAATGTTGTATTCTTACAAATTAATACATTACATTTTAACAAATCTAATTTTGAACAAGATTTAAGACTTTCCAAAATCAGATAATTTGGTAATGCAAATGCAAATGCAAAGCATGAATTTCAACATGAAAATCAGATTTTCACACTTTTGTGTTCTTTTCTGACTGAAACCTTAGTTTCTAAAACTAATAAATGTTTACTTTTTTTCTCTTCAACAGTGTAAAACAATAAAAAAAGAAGGAAGATAACATCAGTTTCCTTCCAGAAAGAAATAGACGAGGAATGCTCATGGTGGATAGATACAGCCACTACAAAAACCAGGAAACTGCTGGTCTTGTGTGTAGAAATCGCCTAATACCGGTCCACTGGGCCAGTTCTACTGGACAGGAAGTGGTTTGTACAATGTGCCATCAGACCAGGAAGGAAATCAAAACAAAAACAAGTTATTTTGCATATCTACAGTCAGTAGATGAGGTGATTGAAAGCCAGTCATCAATATGAAGGTTTTCAGACATTCTCTCCTGGAAGACATTCACACCAACCACAGCAGGAGAGGAACATGAAGGTCAGCTTGCTACTTTTCTGAAATTACCCCACCCTGCAACGTTTAAAGTCTCTGAACATTAAATTTCATGTCCCTCAAGGAATCCTGTTGAAGGTGCAGGAGTCCCTTTAAGGTCTGCTGGTCCCTGCACACCCAAAGCCAAAGTTGAGTTCATAACTTCTGCACCAAGTCAAGCTAACGTAGGTAGGACTCCACCAGATCCACCGCTCATCTTTTATGTGTTTGTGGTAGGGATGGGAAGATTAACCGATATGTGTCGATACGCCACGATGCGCGTGCATCGGTAGAGCAGAAGAGGATGAATGAAATTTTGGAAGCAAATCGAGATGCACCGGTTTTTGCGAGATACAACTTTTAATGTAGAATATTTATTTATTAACAAGTGTTGTCAACCTGTTTTTGGTGCATAATGTAATCGATCTACAAAGTAGGCCTAATCAACGGACTTGCAGATGCGTACATTACAACTCAATGAATCAGCTGCGCGGATGAAGCTAGTGATGCGCCCAAAGGTAGTTGTCAGGAAGCGCGAGGAGAAAAACAAACTTGTCGGACGCCGAGAAAATTTGTCCTCCATTGAGTTTTAAATCTTAAAGTGTGGCTACACTACGGATTTTACATGAAAGACGGACGACTTGACAAGACGGATGCAATTTGTAAAATGTGCCGCGCATCTGTGAAATACACGGGCAGTACGACTAATCTGATATCTCACTTATGTTTATTTATTTAGCAGACGCTTTTATCCAAAGCGACTTACAATTTATAACCTATAGGGCATGTTGTGAACTTGAAGCGGCGCCACGGTGCTGTTGTGAAAAGTATCTGCGAGTGCCCCGCCTCCTGCTCTGATTCACCTGTAGCTACCAGCTCCAAAAGTGGTGAGAAAAGTATTGAAAGTTTTTTCCATGCCCCGCTTGCTAACAGTTCTGCGCGCTCTACGGCAATAACAGATGCTATTGCATTTTTCATCTGCAAAGATATTCATTCGGCCTATAGTGTAACAGAGAATGAAGGTTTTAAACACCACCTCTGTGTCTTGGAGCCACGTTATAAAATACCAAACCGAAAGCTATTCTCCGATGAACAGATTCCTGCTCTGTATAACAAAGTCAGGAGAGACGGTGGACGGCTGGACATCGTGCGCTACAGCATCGTATGTAACGGTCACAGCACACTACATAGATGACGGGTGGTTTCTCAAAAACCACGTTCTGCAGACCAGAGTGTTCAACGAGGCTCACACAGGGAATAATCTAGCCGTTTTACTTCAGGATGTTTGCCGCGAGTGGAAGATCGAAGAGAAGAGCCCCCGCCTTAGTCACAGATAACGCCAGAAACATAATCCTGGCTGACTCTCCCTTGCTCTGCCTCCAACATGCCTCCGTCTAAATAGGATAGATTATCCAGAGTTTTCTCTGTAGTTATGCTGCTATAGGCTTAGACTGCTGGAGGATACACTGACCACTTTTCACTCTACTACTTTCTTCTACTATCTGCTCTTTAACTGTATTACTTTCTGCTATTTCAGCTGTTAACTTTGTTTTCTCTGTAAGTGTTTTTCTCCCCAGAAGAAGCTACAACGACGTTCTGCTGAGCTGTGGTGGCCTCATGGAGGGGGCCATCGACTAGCACACTGCTGCTAACCACTTAAACATTCTCCCTCTCCTGATAATAACTTTTTGCTTTACTTGACATTGGACGTGTTACTGCTAGTTTACCCATTTAATTATAGATCCACTAGGATAAATACAATAAAGTTTATCTTTCACCAAATAGAATATTTACTAAGACATCACAATATAACTATAGACACATTATTGTGTATGTGTGTGCCTGCTTTGTCTTCTCCATCCCCAGTGAGTCGTGGAGGATGGCTGCTTATACTGAGCCAGGATTCTCTGGAGGTTTCTTCCTGTTAAAAGGGAGTTTTCCTCTCCACTGTCGCTATATGCTTGCTTAGTATGAGGATTGCTGTATAGTCACTGACACTAGTCAGTGACTTGATGCAATTTGCTGGGTTCCTTATATAGGAAACATTATTTCTGATTGGCTTAATGAACTGACCTGAATTGGAATTTTTATTATGTGAAGTGCCTTGAGACGACTCTTGTCGTGATTTGGCGCTATATAAACTTGAATTGAATTGAATTGGTGCTGGTGCCAAGATGGACCCACACGTGAGATGCATCACGCACACATTGAACTTAGCATCTCATAAAGCCTTTAAGGTGGACAAAGTCTCTGAGCTGGTGGTGAAAATTAGGAAGCTTGTCTCCTTTTTCCACAAAAGTGCCAAGGCAAATGAAGTTCTGCGTGAAATAGACACAGTTACACCTGCCCAACCACAAACTCATCCATGACGCTTCCACCAGATGGAACAGTACCCTCGACATGTTGGAGCGTTTCTGGGAGCTGCAGCCTGTTGTGCTGAATACCCTGCTGTCCAGGAAGATAAAGAGGTGAGTTTGACAGAAGATGATGACATGACACTGATCCCAGAGATCATCAAATTAATGTCACCTCTGAAAGTGGCAACCACACTCTTCAGTGAGGAAAAAAATCCCACCATCTCCATTATCTCTCCAATCCAAGCCAAATTGCAGAGACAATCCCAACCAGATGAGCGTGATCTAGAGGTTATTTCCCACATGAAAGACAGATTCAGGCAGGACTTCGATGGCCGTTATACACATCTTGAAGGCACTCTCAACTGTGCCTCAGCACTTGACCCGCGTTTTAAAGATCTGGCTTTTCTGGATGACAGTGATGCCAAGGATATGGTATTCATGAAGATAACATGGTCCAGATGAATGGAGAAGTAAGAACATTTACAGTAAGATCATTATTGCAGTTAAAACTAATAATATATGAATAATGTGCATTAATTTCCACGTTTATGCATTTTTAAGGAAGAGGGCAGTGACACAGCAATGCCAAATGAAGACCAGACAACAGGCACATGTGAAGAGGACCAGACAGCTGAAACAGAAAGCAAAAGAAGCCCTTCAGAGAGGACAGGAACACAGGTTGGCTTAAATGGAGACAATGCCACACATTTAGTGAGGATGCTATTGTGAAGTAATTTTCAGACTATAAATAAAAGGAAGATTTTTAGCAGAACTGATAAGCCTCTCCTCTGCCCTCTTCTGTACATGATGCCAAAAGACTGCCATGGACCAGATGTTTGGAGATTTCCTGAGTGCAAGACCACCAGCAAAAACCATCAGAGAGAAAGCTACGGATGAAATCTTAAATTATAGAGAGAGGGACACTTTAGGTTTGGATGGGGATGTGTTGCAGTGGTGGAGACTGCAAGTAGATCTTCCACTACTATCAGCTTTAGCAACGAGATATCTGTCCGTCCCAGCAACAAGCGTACCAGCTGAAAGAGTTTTCAGCACAGCTGGAGACGTAGTTACTGCTCAGCGTAGCTTGCTTCACCCTGATCACGTTGATCGGTTGATATTTCTGAAGAAAAACCTTTAACTGACCACTGTGCAGTGTGTGCACTATTCTAAAGGGCCACACGGTGTCCTGTTTGCTTTAAGGAATTTTATTTAATTTTTATTTTATTTTTGTTAGCCTGTTGTTTACAGTGACGGTGATGTTTCAAAGTAAAAGCAGCGTAACACTGCTAATTCACGATGTTAAGTTTTGAATATTCAGTGGCAAAATACATCTTTGGAAAATTTATTTTCATAGTTGAAAAGTTAAATCACAATTACTGTTGTGCAATGGTAAACCTCTCTGTTGGGAGTGCAAATATTTTTTTGTACATCTTTCACTTTTACGTTCTGTTTGTCTTGGAAACAGATGAAATAACGCCATGTGTTCTAACGTGGTCCTCTACTGTAAACCGACACGCGGGCTCTGGGAGAAAAGCCAGTTTGTAAAAAGGTCTTGGTTTTACTTGGTTAATAAGCAATCACACTCATTCAATGGCACTGCATCATCTTTCACATCACCACATAAACTTGATGTAATTAGCTAGTGCTGAATTATCGCATTGCATCGTGATATGGGTGTGAATCCTATTGTATTGCATCACAAAATGCCTTAAATGTATCGTGAATGTATCGGATCGAATACTTTGTATCGAGATGCGTATCAGATCAGCATTATATCTTAGATGCCCAACCCTAGTTTGTGGTGTTTGTGGCTCAAATTTGAAGATGTAACTGGGGTATTGCTCTTCTCAATGTGTCACGATTCTTTTTGTTTTTGGAATTTACCCTCATCCTACATGTGTCTTGATGTGTCATGGATTGACTCAGAAACTAAACCAAGAAAAGCTCCAGACATCAGTGACAACTTGGACTCTTGAGATGTTTTTCATTTGCAGCTAGACATCTTAAATGATATCTTTACAACACAGATTAAAGACGTCTTGTAAATTGTTGCGTATAGGCAGCTTGGGGTGTCTAATGAAGCCTATGTTGTCTCTGACCTGCTTTCCTATGTCAATTATTAATGTTGTTTATGGCCACGGAGAAACGGTTCATTCTGAGAAAAGCTGGTTTAACGCGTCGTAAGCTTAGGCATGTGTAACGCGATTCGAGTCACTGCGGGGATCTGTCAGAACTAAAGCCTGATTTATGCTTCTCCGTCTGCGTCAGTGCGGAGACACGCAACGCCATTATCCGTCTTTGCGTAGGGCTCCGGCAGGCACGCAAGTACGTACAGAGTCGAGCACACTTTTTTAAACATCTGTCGAACGAGACGGATTACGCAAGCTTGTGATTGGTCAGGACGCCGCTGTTGTTTACAGCGCCGCCATTGCAAAGAGAGCCGAGGATAACTAGCGGCAGACACGGAGAAGCTTGAAGAATACCTCGCGAAAAAACTCCAAAAATATGAACGTTTCATCCTCCCGTGACTGGAGGAGTGAAAAGATGCACAGCAAGCGTTTTATTTGTGGACGGAAATGACAGGAAACGTGGGTTTAGAGGTGGGGAGCGCATGCAGCGGTGGGAGAATTAGAGACAAATATGTCCGTGTTAAAAGTCTCTTATATACACAAAAAACACAATATAAACACACGATCTTGGACCGATACATGACAGGATACCACAGAACAGCGCTACGCCCTCTGTTGTCCTGCAGGGCAATTGCTTTGCAACACTCTCCAGGAGACGGAGAAGTATGAGAGCAAAACGCTTCATCAATCCGTGCGTGTCTGTCCCTTGCGGAGCTGACGGAGAAGCATGAACCAGGCTTGAGCCCACCTGCAGGAGCCTAAGAAGACTCAACCACAGAGAAGTTTCGTTAACCCCCAGAGACCCACGGTTGTAATATTACAACATCAGATTTAAGTCTACAAAAATAAACCTTCCCCATTTTTTTTTCTTTTTAAAACCACATTTACATTGCTAATAGGTCCTATTGTTCAGTTCTGCAACACTATTGGCTGTTAAAATGTGTAAATAGGCCCGTTTATCTGGCCTCCTAGAACAACATGTGAAAGGTTAAAAAAGATTTTGCAGTTGTTTTCTAAATTTGGGTCTCTGGGGGTTAAACCGTCAATTGGCAAATGTCCACACACAGTTAAAATGAACTGAATAACATGATTGCGAAACCAAACCAAACCAAATTTCTCAACCAAGTTATTCCCGGGAAGGAGGAAAGAATACTAGAAAACCGCACTATGTGTCACTGGGCTACACGTGTCCCTTTAAATTTGCATGTCCTAACCCACTTCAATATCGGCAACTAACGTTGGTCATGGAAATGCTAACTGCAGAACAATGCTACCTTGAGCTACTGCTAACGCCCTTGTTGGACGAGGGGAAAACAACAAAGAATGCTGGAGCACCACTAACATTCCAGGGTCCACTGGGATCATTCAGACTTTGAATTAATGCCAGATAGACCCATAGCTTGCTTACTGAGTTATTCTGCTACTGTACACAGAGTTTCGGTTGCAGTGTTCTAATTGTAACAATAAACTGTTCTAGGACCCCTTTAATTGCCACAAGAGGTAGAATAAAGTCAAAAACTTTACTGGGCCTATTACTTACAACTCATGCTCGTCTTGGCAGTTTCAAGCCATTTCATTTGTAACAAGTCCATGGCTGCCCTCTACTTCGATTGGGATACTGAGACATGTCAGAATTACCGTTTCATTCACTGGTTGTCCCTGGGTTATCCACCTTGCTGCCTACATTTTCCTGGTTCAGTCTGAGCCACTCACTAAGCAGAGTGTTCAACATCACTATGTCCACCATTATTGTGTTTTTGTGTCATGTACAGATTACCCTACTTGAACGAAGTGCAGATCACCTTGCGCTTGCGGGTTTGTGCTTCTGCGCAGTGTGCAACCTGGAAATCACACTGTTAATCTGATGTGGAAGGCTTGCAGATTGCCTGAAGACTACATAGTTTTTTGATGTACCCATAGCAACAGCATGATATCATTCTAACATGCAGCGTTGATGATAAAGTGACAGCAAACTGATACATGCAGCAACCAACTGAAAATGAAAAACAAAGAGTCCTGTTGGCTCTTACCACAGCCAGCTTATCCAAAATCTCAAACACACACGTTCCAGTGCCGATGCACTTTAGCGTATCAACTACTGACATGGTCCTCAAGTGATCTGTTCACTGTAACACTGATCTATGTAAACATGATTCTCTAAGTAAGGTAGAAAACCCAACTTATTCCTAAAGTACAGTAAGAGTACTCTATCCCCCCCAGAGAAGTTTGTATAGCAACACATTGCTGGCAAAAATGTGTTTTCAGTATTCTAATTATTGAAGTACAAAAATTTGTCTTTGTGGGCTTGTGCTCAGACCTGCTGTGTGAAACTGGCGTTTACACAGCACAACTAGGTCACTGAAATCAACATCTACATTAGCTGCATTTGAATGAGACATCCTAAAAATCACTCTATTTAACTCATTCACTGCCAATGACGACTAAAGTCATTTGCTTTTTTTTTTTGTTTTTACTATGTGGGTATCGGAACGAGCCCCCACACCATGAGAACAGACATCCCAGCTCTAAAGCCGATCTTCATCCGCATACATCACACGTCATGTGATCAGGAAGCAGAAAATCCATGTGTCAGATCGTTTTGGGCCGCTGCTGTAAAATAGGTGAGACGCAAACCGGAAAAGCGTCTGCCGATCACAATTCGACAACGGATTATGAAAGAACGGATAACGCTCGAAACGCGCGGATTCTTCCTGATGTAAGAGGTGAGTCTACTTTCTTTTGGTAGTTTTGGCGTTGCCATCATCCTAGCGTGCAACGTTCTGTGACTCTTAAAAAAACAGTAAAAACGCTGGCAGCGAAGGGCTTTACTGATCAGGAAACGGCTGGCTGTGAATGAGTTTAAGATCAGTGTGTGTATGTGTGTGTGTGCGTGGGTGTGTGTGTGTGTGTGTCCTAAACAGTAAAAATGTTTTGGGTTGTTTTTCTGCTGACTATATCCTGGTGGAACAACAGCCCTTGGCTTCATTACAAACCAATCTGACATTTCACAGCCAGTGTGCGTAAACCACAGGGTTAGGGTGGGGTCTGCTCTGAGTAAATACCAGTCCCCTTTTACACAATCTATGTTGAGTTATATCCAAAAATGAGAAAAAGCACTGAATGCCAAAAGAGACGCTACATCAGAGTTGAACACTAACATTCAATGAAAATCTTCCCAGGAAAATAAAATGAGATACATAAAAACAGCATTACTGGACTCAGACTAAATCCAACACATGTCTTAGATAAAAACTCCTCTTCTCCTACAGAAATCAGCTAATGTAGCGTTGTCGTAAAATTTGGTTCTAAATTTGAAAAATCTGAAATCTGATAAATTCCTCTATGAAATTCAAGCCCGTACTGTTTGTGTTAAATACATTAAAAACAGGCCACAAAAGTCTAAGGCTATGAGAGACAGTGAAAGTGGTGTTACTTTCACCCCTTGTACAAATACATCATAATTAAAGAAATTCCACCTATGGATCAAATTATCTCCATTTGATTGCCAGAAACACAGAGAGGCTCATTTTTCTCTGCAACACGGCATTTGAGAGTACTAGTGCCACATTTCTCAAACTAACCTTTTATTCTATTAGAGATGCACAGACACAACATTTTTGTATAGAGGACAAGTACTTGCACTGGAGTACTTGCTGATACCAGGTATTGACATGAGTACTAATAAACAGCTTGTATCGTGGTATCTCACAGTGGACCATGAAGATCCAAAAACTGTCTGAACTACGAAGCTAAGGCTAACAACATTACACACTGATCCTCCTGGACTGAAAAATCAACAGAATGTTTCTGTGTAGTGATATTGGTACTGAGGTATCAGACCTCTTTTACGAGTAGACATACTCGTGCTGTTTTCTGTGCATCTCTAAAATTATTTCTAAAAGCCATTAGCTTGTCAATATTTAACCTGAGTTTCCTTTTTTTATCAGAACTCCATCCATACTTTTAGTACTTGCAGAAAAAAACTGCAATTGTAGTTTCACAGCTCATCTCATTTCACATCAAACACTGAACTGACCCTGGTAAAGATAAATGACGTAAGTACCAAAAATACAAACATTTTGATGCCCACAGAGGCTAACATTCTGAAATACTAAACACTACGAGTGTTTTTCCTGTTACATAAACATTTGGGTGTTTGTCGTGTTTGTGATGATTCTGCTGTCAGACAACGGTGCTAATGTCGTCAGTTTCGTCAGGTTTCTTGGGCTTACTGGGAAGAGACTTGAGGTACTCCAGGTGCCGTCGGGCATCCTCCTGGTTCTGTCGAACATAATACACTACATACGAAATTACCATTGCAAACCAGCCAAACATGGTAACAAGCATCGCATAGTCTGTGGTCCTTTTAGCCAGGTTACATAGGTCAATGTCCACTTTCATGAAAGATCGTCCCTCCTGATTCAGCAGCTCAGAACTCCTGCAGAGAACTCGGGCTGCAGCTTCATGATTGTGGGCCATGCCGCCAATGGCCTGCTGGAGGGCGCAATCACAATGCCACGGGTTGTCATCTACAATGATGCGAGCCCTCAGCCGAGCAAAAGCATCCTTGTGAACGCTAGTGATGTGATTGTGAGAAAGGTCCAGCACCTGCAAAGTCCCCTCTATACCACTAAAAGCGTTCTCTCCTAAACTTTCAACTGCGTTGTGTGAGAGGTTCAGTTCCCTCAGAAGACTGAGCCCATTGAAGGCTTGTTCGGGCACAGAGCCTATCTGGTTGTGGTCCAGCCTCAGTAGGACAGTGTTTCCTGGGAGGTTGAGAGGAATCTCTTTGAGACGAGACTGACTGCAGGTAACATTCAGACCATGAAGATGGGGGTCGCGTAGGCAGCTGCAGCCTTTGGGACACATGCTGGCAGAGGGGAAGCACAGGGCCATGAGGACAAGGCTCTGAAGGAGCAAGCACATGGGGATGGAGCGTGACAGCCACAGGTCCAGCAGAGTCATACTGACTGGCTGTCAGCAGCATCCCGCCTGGGAATACAACACCACCACTGGTCCTTTACACACATGGCATTGTGACGGCTCGTTCTCACAGTCCACTCACTAGAGATACTGGTGCATGAACAGATGTTTTCATGCCGGGTTGTAGCCTGGAAGGAGATGAAACACAAAATCAAGACAAATGTTATCATTGATTATTTTGCAACAATTATACTACTTAGGGATGTGTGTTGGTGAAATTCTGGTGATACGATACGTATCACGATACAAGAGAGGTGATACGATATATCACGTACATTCAGCCAGATGATATTAACGATATTTCTTTAGACTGAAATTATTGTGGGAAAATTCAATAAACAGTCCAAACTGATCCACAACATGTTTGGTATGAGGTATCTGAACCATAATAGAGGGATTTACATTTCAGTGGTGGAAACAAAACCCATTGCACACTGCTGCCAACAAGAGGTTGGTGTTAGAATTGCACCAAAAGAAAAGAAAAAAACACAAACGATTGCATGTAAATTCTTCCAAAAATTCTATACACGGCTTTTGAATATTGTGATATATTACCATGTGGGTATTTTCTTACATCTCTAAAACTAATATATGTCTTGAAATGCATCCTCTAAGTTATTGAGTGTTGGTGCATCTCAGCCAAAGTTTAGCCTCAGAACAGCCATAAATGTAGAAAAGAACCCAAACTTGAGCACCTGCCCCTTTTGTCCGAAGTGCCCAAAGTGCCCTTTTTCCGGTCGTTCATCAGATTTTACCGTAAAAAACTGTTATACTGTGATACAAATCGGGCACTAGGACCATGCGGAGGCAGCCGCCTCAAGCTGAAGCCTATTTTCACCTTAGACCCGCCTACAAGCTCACTGATTGGCTCGGCCGCATCATACTAACGTGTGATTGGTTGTCCTTGCTGTCGCTCTACCTTGTAGCCATGGAGATGGCAGACCCGTGTTTTGCCTGCGTGCAGGAGTCTGCATTCATCTACCTGTAAGTTTTTTTTCTGCCTGCTTCACGTCAGCTGGATGGATTTTAATATCAGAGCTTTTGTTTACGTGCGTTTGTCTGGGACAGAAAATGAGACATGAGAGAGACTTCTCCTGAAGTGTTGCAGAAACTCACAACAAAGAATCACAGATGTTGATATTTCTCACTCTAGATTCTCCGGGTCATAACTTCTGAATAACTGGAATAAGAATAATTCAAACGGTTTCTAAAAGTACATAAAACTAGCTTTCCAACGAGGTACTACATGATATAATTCATGTTACTCCAAAAATCGCTATTAGAAGGAAACCAGCTTTGCAGCGTCACAGGAAGAAACGGAGCGAACCGCGACGGGAGAGCAGAGAACCGAAGGGAGGAGATCAGCAGATGAAGAGGATCAGACTATCCATCGGATAGGCGGAAGAAGACGAGACGAGACTTTTATCTTTATTTCGTGTTTGTTTATCTTTTTATTTATTATTATTATTGTTGTTGTTGTTGTTTCAATGTGTGGCATTGAAATGCTGTTTGCTATCCTGGTTCACTATTTGTTTTTGATGTGTATAGAGGACCCACTTGTAAACAAGATGGTTCATCTCAAGTGGTTTGTCCTCTTGAAATATAAGTTAATAAATAAACTACAGCTGTGTAATCAAAATGTATAGAAGTCTAAAGAGTGCACAAATTAGGAAATATTGTTTTATCCTACTTGCATTTATATGTATGGTAAACATATCTATGGTAAATGTGATTCTTTTGCTAAATCATCTCTAACTGAAAGTAAGTTTAGGTTCCAGGTCCATCTTACAATGATCTAAAATGCATCTTGTCCTCAGTGAGTCATAATCCTGCAGTAAACCAGAAGAACAACCTTCACAATCAGCAGAGTGCTGCAATGGCCTTCATTTCAGCATCCAAAATGGGTAAAATGCACTTTTCATCCATTTGCTTGCACTTTTTAACAAATAACGCATATGATTTGCTTGTTGCTGATAGATTCAGGAGATAGAATAGCTATTGAAAAATACAAATTTCCACAGAGACTATAAAACAGACAGGGTTTTAAATCTGGGACCCCATGCTAAACTTCACCTCTCACCTGGTGCGGCTGCTGCTGGAGGAGCAGAGGCTCTCCTCCAAGCCTCTCCCTGATATTGGAGCTGCTCAGCTTATAGCAGCATTGGGGATGGGTCGGCCATCAACAGTTTGTTTTCTTAAAGTGACAGAGCCCTGAAACTGTTATGGCTGAAGCATGAAAAGACAACTTAACAGTAAGACGAATAAGTGCTTTATTTAAAGTCTAGACCTGATCTTATTGCTGTTGGACCAATGGGAGAGAATTGCTGTGAAGTAATCCAGCTGAAGCGAGGTCAGAAGATGGACGTGTGACAGAACCAGAGGCGACAAGCATGATCCAAAGAGGAGAAGGAAAAAGGCAGAAGTCCATAAACAAATCTAAAGATAGTTCAAGGATCAGAGGTATGTGGGTAATGCAGAAGGGTGAGGCAAGGTGAGGGAATCCGAGGAGCAGAAACAAGGGCATGAATGTGAAGGCAGGCATGGGACGAATGAACATCTACTGACACAAGGTTTTCAATGATTTGGTGGGGGTGTGGTGGTTAGATGGGACTAATATAACTGGAGGAAGGGTGGTGATGGACATGATTGGGCTGAGCGGGTGTGGGAGCCAGTGTTGCCAACTGTTTTTGACTGAAAGTAGCTGAATTTCCCCCAAAAGTCGCCAGATGGCGTCATGTGCTAATTTGCATATTGATGATGTCATCGCGCCACGACGTTCATTTTCCCCATAGCATCTTAGGTGTTAAACTTATTAATTAGTATGATTAAAATGGCCCAAATTACTTTGATATGTAAAATAAATTCCAAAAGTATAAATAAAGTGACATCAAGACAGATAAGGTGTGGTGATCCAAACAGTTCTGTTTAGGGATGGGTAGCGAATTCGGTACTTTTTAAGGTACCGACCGAATTCCATAGTACCGACCGAGCACCGATTCACGTCATTTGAAACGGTGCCTCGTTTCGGTACCCGTCCATCCTAACGAGAACTTGCCAAGACAGCTGCGCAAGAGCGTTATGTCGTCGCTTGCTGTGAACCAGTTGTAAACAGAGCAGCACGGTAGAAAGAACGCACGCTAAAGCTTGGGTCCACTTCACTAAATGTGATGGGTAACTGGATGATGAAACCAGCGACAACGATCTAAGTGAGACATCCTCATCTTAATCTGCTCCGGTAGGTAAATATAATTAGCTTGATATATTAGCTTCCGTTTCGCTAATGGTGCGTTCACTTTCTCCTCGGAACTCCGAATTTCCGACTAGAACAACATGAACGCGCTCTAAAGTTTGGCTTCACTTTACTAAATGTGACGGGTGAAGACGAAACCAGTGACGATCTAAGTGTGAGGCATCGTTTTAATCTGCTCCAGCAGCTAAATAAACTGTTTAAGATATCGTTAGCTTGATATGTTAGCTTCCATTGCCACCATTGTTATCAGCTAATGGTGCGTTCGCTTTCTCCTCGGAAATTCGAACTTCTCAGTAGGAAAAATCAAATGAAAAAGGACGGCAAAAGGAATGAAGACACAGTAAATTTAGTTCACAGTAAAGATGTTTGCTTCAGTTTAATTATCAGCTTATAAAACTACCAACACGACCATATCATCTGCAAAAAGCAGAGACCTCCTCAGGCAACCAAAATGGTTCCTCTCTACACCTTGGCTGCATCTAGAAATCCTGTCCATAAAAGTTATGAAAAGAATCGGAGACAAAAGGCAGCCTTGGCAGTCCAACTCTTACAGGAAATGAGCCCAACTTACTGCCGGACGAAGCTATGACACCGGTCATATAGGGACCTAACAGCCAGTATCAGAGGGTGTGGTACCCCAAACTCCCAAATTACCCCCAACAGGGCCCCCGAGGGATGTGGCCGAGCGCCTTCTCCAGATCCACAAACCATGTTAGATTGGTTGGGTGAACTCGCACGCACCTTCCAGGACCCCCTAAGGGTATAGAGCTGATCCAGGATTTCACTCTAAGGACGAAAACCACATTGTGGACATCTCAGTAGTGCCAACAGTAATATTTTAAATATATCGTGCCGACCTTTTCTCTCAAAGATTTAAAATAGCGTGATCTGGCTCCTTTAAGGTTTCTAATGTGGAGCCTAATATAAAATTAAGACGAAATCAAATTATTTTCCAAAGTAAAATATGAGGAAAAAAATCTAAAGTATTTGTCTTCAAATAACCATGTTGCTATTAATTTTAAGGGTGAGTAGAATACTGTTCATTTACAATTGGAAACTGCTGTAATTGCACCCCCACGTTGCACCTGTTCAAGTTGAGAACTAGTGAGTCTCATTGGGTTTGTCTTGATACTTGGCTAAAATCCACCCGAGGGGAGGCCCATTTATAGTCATGACTTTAAAATGCAAACAAAAACCAAACAAATTCACAAAGATTCACCACAAACCAGGGCTGGGCAATGAATCGAAAATTTATCATTATCGACATTTCTGACTCTTATTGAGATAATTCTTTTCCCGTCAATATAAAAGATGTGTGTAGGTTGGCAACATTCATGTCCCCTGAAGAAGTCACGTAATTATGTGACTCAACGTAATACATGTGGCAGACCCAACTATTGGGCGACCTTTGTTTCTGCGCATACCTGTAGTTATCGTTCATTTGTCGTTATCGAGGTGAAATCCTCAATATGTCGTGGTATTGGCTTTAGGCAATATCGCCCAGCCCTACCACAAACAGACTGAAGACAAGAGCATGCCTGTGTGTCGTGAATTTGAACACAGTCATTGCCTTGGCTGTGCAGGGACCAGATAACCCTTAAAGGAGAACCTGGTACCCCAACCCCCCACAGAATCTTTCAGGGGACAAAGTCACAAAACAGGCATTAGGACGTTCATGTCCATGATTACTGGTACAAAACTTGGAGAAACTCTATGGCTGTAACAGTGGAGGACCATGATTGACGCTGTCATTCCAGTGTTATGGGCTCGACACACGGGAGGCGACATCGCCTCTCCATTCATTTTCAATGAGACATGCGCGACAAAGCGATAATCGCGGGTCTCTCTCCTACCAAGCGAAACGAGAAAAACGTGCGTGTGAAAGTTTGCACTCATGCACGTGTCATGCACGGACGACCCAGCGACGCGATCCCAGAAAGTTGAAACATTTTCAACTTTTCATCGCTGTCGCTCGGGCGAGGACCAATCAACGGAGGTTTCATTCACTGACCAATGAGCGGACAGGATGCTCCGTACATCTCCGAGCAAACATGAAGGAGAAGTTGATTATTATTATGTTTATATAGTAAAATCACAAGTAAGATTTCACATAACTTGTGAAACATCATATCTACCACTTTATTAACTCTGAACCGCTTAAATAACCTTAATTCCCTCCAACGTGACACAGCCAAACCGAACAACGGAAGTTTCGATTTCGCCATGGAACAGAACGCGTAGACGGCTTTGCCGCTGGCCGCTGCAACGGATCGCCTCCCGTGTGACAGGTAATAAAAGCGACAGCGACAAATTTCGCTGATCGCGGTCGTTTGTCGCCTCCCGTGTGTCGAGCCCATTACGAAAATAAGATGGAGTCACAAGGTGTTTGGATCGTTTCACTTGATGCACCTTTCAGTTGACATGAAGTTTCTGTGTCGTCTTCTGTCTATGTGAAGCCGCATGTATATATATATATATATATATATATATATATATATATATATATATATATAGATATAGATAGATAGATAGATAGATAGATAGATAGATAGATGATAGATAGATAGATAGATAGATAGATAGATAGATAGATAGATAGATAGATAGATAGATAAAACTATGGTGACTATGATTGTGATATGACCTTCTGACACAACAGTGTGTAACTATAAAATCACACCAAGGACAAAGAATCTGTTTCTGCAGCTTCTTTCTTGTTGCTGCAGAGATCTAAAGCTGTTCCACATGGAGAGAAGCTCAAACACGCTGCTTTTACCAATCTGAGAGATGTGGTGGAAATATCTGATTAGGTGATGTGGTTTTTTTATTTTTTATTTTTTGGTGCAGCTTCCGCAGTGATGTGAGAGCTGACCGCGAAGGCAAAGCTCTCGATTAACCGGTCGATCCACGTTCCAAGTCTCACCTATGGTCACGAGCTTTGGGTAGTGACCAAAAGAATGAGGTTGTGAATACAAGCGATCGAAATGAGCCTTCTCCGCAGGGTGGCTGGGCCCCTCAGAGATAGGGTGAGAAGCTCAGTCATCCAGGAGGGGCTCAGGGTGATCTGCTGCTCCTCCTTTTCGAGAGGAGCCAGTTGAGGTGGCTCGGGCATCTAGTTGCGATGCCTCCTGGATTATGTAGTGTCTCAGGATCTACAAAAGGTCTCTTGGAGCCATGCTTCATATCCCACAGGAAGTCGACTATTTTGGTCCAAGAACGCCATTTAGTGTTTTTTGCACACCTTGAATGTACACTCCAAAAAGAGATGTGTCAAAAATCAACACAGGTGGATGTGTTAACAGCATTTTGACACATGTTGTGTAGATTTTAGCACACATTGTGTAACTCTCCTATCAACTGACTGACACATTAAAAGTGTTATCTTCCGTGCTTGAAGTTGTGGCAGGAGATTTCACAAATACAACCTGCTGAAACCCAAATTTGTATTAGTATTTTTGTATTTGTTTTATTCATATTATTTATATTAGTAAAACCTCACTGACATGTATACAAATTAGCAAGATAAAATAGAAATTAAATAAGTCTTTACAAATGTAATTAAAAACAATAGGTAATTTTTACAAATGTCTGGTGAAATCAAACAGAAAAGCTATGCATAGTAAAAAAAAAAATCTGCAAAAAATGACGAAGGTAAGATGATACATCTAAACATTTTCAAAGTTTAACGGCAGCTTTTTGTCATCCAATCATTAGGCTTCTTAAAAAAAAAACGTACTTCCGCCCGCCAGTTTCAGTCGGTTTGTGTTACTTCAGTCCGCTCATTTCTCCGGACTCTTGGAGGGGATTACAATGGAGGATTCTGATCCGCCTGTAAGTAACATTGTTTGAATGTTGTTTATTAAATATATATATATATATATATATATAATATTCTAGGTGGCTACGCAGTGTTTATTGACTTGTGCGGTTAGGCAGTACTTGGCGCCACTTAGCATAAGCTAACTAGCTTAACCAGTTTACTTTACTCAGGCTTTCGCTTGCTAGGTTAGATAGTCAAACATTTTCAAAATATATTTACATGTGTTGTTAACAGCAGTGTCCCCAAAGCTGGACGTACACTACGATTTGCTGACCGTTTTGAGCCAATCTCCCTCTTGTTCCACAATTTTTTTGGGGTAAGTTCTGCCTGGTGTAGTGTAGGGGTAAGGAGAGGCGGTTAACACCTCACAACCAGCTCTCGAACAGCCAATCTGCAGTCACACGAATATTAAAAGTGCTTCATATTTTGTTTGTCTCTTCAGGGTATCGCACTGTTGAAGCAACGCTGTGACCCAAAAGTACCAGAACCGCTCACATAGCGCATGCGTCATGTGAACAGGCTTCGCCAGCACTTTGGCTAAAACTCTACTACAACACCACTGGTTCCGGGTTTTCAAACTTAAGGGTTTGACATGATGTGTAAAAACTGCTATTTTAGCATGTTTTCATGTCTGTGTTGCGTCCACGCAGTGTGAACAGTCAGGTCACATCCGAACATTGCGTGCTATAGTGTGAGAACATGACTTGTACAGTTTGAGAAGTTAAATGGTACGAGTAAAACCGTAGCACAGCGAATGAATGCCTTGGAAAACGTTAGTTGTTAAACAAAAGTTGCTAAACATTAAACCCTCTGAAGGGGAATGTGATCAAACTAAAAGAAATCGTGATATAACTAAATAAGTTCGATCCTCACGCACTGTTTTTGAAACAAAATACCGTAAAGCGCATATTAATATAATTAATTATAAAAAGAAATCTATTTCAAAATAAAATTGTGTACCCTATTGATATATTGATTTGACAAGGCCAGTGGTGCTTTTACTTTGAAGGATGATACGGTCGCTATCCGGATGCGTTGCTATTCCTGCTAGCTATCTACCGATCGAAACGACTTGTTTAAAACTTTATATAGCGGCCAGCGAGAATTAACTGTCACGGATCACACGCTCCATCAGACGTTTTTTTGTCTTTTTTAGCTAACGTAAACCGTTTGTATTTGATAAATGAACTAACTTGTTTTTTACGCTTTTCAAACTCCCAGGTCCAAGGCATTTGTTGCCACTGACTACGAGGACACGGAAGCGAACATACATAGTTCTTTGAAAATATTAATTTAGTAAAACTACTACACTAACCCGCCCTGTAACTTGTGTTATTATTAACTTATGTTTATACTGAGTGATACTTTGTTACATGCACAGGTAGCTCCAGTTTGATCACCAAATAAAAATGTCAGTAACTTGTTCAAATGCAGAGGAAAATATGTGAATATCGTTTTTTAAAAGGGTAGAAAATGTCATGAGTATAAACCAGTTAATCAAAATGTGTTAAGTTAAAGTAAAACAACATTAGAAGCAAATACAAAAACATTTAAAGCAATGTAAAATATAAATAAAATAGTTGTAAAAAATTAGTCATGTAATGTTGAACTGCATGTTGCTGTAGTTTTTCAACTCTGCTTGAGGCAAACATTATAAACTTGAGTCATTGTATTGCCATTGTTTTGTTGAATAAGCCGTGTTTGGAGATACTACTCATAAAAATATGTGGCCAACCATTTTATATTAAATGAGGAAAACCGTCCTAATTATATTTCGTCTGATAAGATCTAATTTGAGATTTACTTTAATAATAATATTATAAAATAAAAGTAAATAACTTTTTTTTCTGCAGAACCCAGACCTACAACCTGGATCAATCAGAGTGCTTGCTACCATCTTCAAAAATGGAAACGAGTCATCAAGGAAGATTTATACTGTTCACACTACAGAACAGCTAATAACCCACATCATGTCTGAGCAACCAGGTTTTGCATTTGACAGAGTTCTGAAACATCATGCTGACTTCCAAGAGTTTGTTGATGTGGACAGAACAACAGACATCAGGAATTTTGACAAATTCCAGGTCTTTCTATCAAGTGTCGAAGCATTACCCCAAACAACTGCTGAAGAGCTCCATCAAATCCAGGTATAAGATTTTCATTTTATTTGTGTTATATTATTTTCTGGGCTGTAGCACTGGAAAAAAAGAAGTGTCACATACACTTGGTAACAGTGAAATTAAATGGCAAGCGATTTTAAATTCCAGTGATGGCCTTCTGCCAGAATGTTTCTTTTTTAGAATTAGGAGGGTTGTGTCACATTCAGACAGACTGTCGGATTTCAGTCACTCTGAATTAGAATCGATCAGAAAAAGTGGGGGAGGATTCCTCCTGTTCACAATCTTTGCTCTAGTGTGTTGGTCTAATGTCGTCAATTGACCGATCACAATCGAAGAGACGGCATGCTGCAGACGACGAGGCAGAGCGGCGTTCGCAGTGATCAAGTGCTGTTGCTTTAACATCTCGCTGCAGTTTTGAGCTTAAAGTTTGTAAAATCAAACAAAGTCACCACAAAACAACCGTTTTCTGTTAAGGACTTTAGCAGATTTGCCTTCATAGATTTTCCCAAGGTGTTTTTTTTTTTTTACGGGCGATACATTTTTTTTAATCTAAAGTGGGTTTATCTTATATCAGAGCTGCTCTCATATGAGCATGTCTTCATCTGCTCTCATGCCACCCCTTCCCAATTTCTCAGGCTGAACAATAATATTTAATCTTTAATAGCACTATAGCCCTCACACTCCCTTACATCACCACTGAACAAGACTACATGTTTCTGCAGCAGGTTGTGGGGGTTCAGCTCAATATAAAAATTTACACTTTGGATTTATTTGTGTATGTTACAAATATTTGCAATAATCAAGCAGTCCTAACTAATGTTTATAATAAATCTAATTTCTTCTCATATCCCCTTTGCTGCCTTCAATCTAGCATCTTCCTGTGGTAAACGAACTGGGAAGTCTGCAGATACTATTACAAAGAAAAGCACCAAAAATACTTGAGGAACACAAAAAACAGGGAGCCTTAAAACTGAGACAAGGAAGCTCCTTGTCAAAGTTTGCATCAGTCACTTGGTGGAGAAGCATGGATTGTAAGTACATACTTTCATACATACATACATACTACATATATAGAGTGGAAGTGTATACATAGATATGCATTTTTATTTCAGTCATTCAATTCACTAATTTAGATTTTGATTTCTGTTCTTCCATTCAACCCCTTAAGTTACCCAACAAGTGCTGAGAAGGTGACTTTAGCCAAGACAATCATCGCCACTTTCCCATCCTTGAGAGTTCAGATTGAAGGAAAAGGAGAGGGATTTGTAAGTAGAATTTGCCTAAATCCAAAAAGTGTCTTCATTATTAGGGCTGGACGATATAGAAAAAAGCATATAGATAAAAAAAATCAGGTCATTTACAATAATTATTGAAAAATATTGATAAAAAATGTTGAAAATATCTCAAGTGCAGCCCTTCCCATTTTATGCTATTCACTAGCATTACCCAGCAGCGGCAGACAGCTGTGCTGCAGATCATGTGTAAAAATGACAACACTGGTGTGGTGTGTAGCTCTGAAGCTTTGTCCTAAACACTTTTTTTTATTTATATTTTATTGAACATTCAGCAGTCATGTTACATGAGAACCTCTTTTCCAAATACATCCCCAAGTTTTTGCTTGAATAAGTATTTTCTGTGATTCGGTATTTAAAACGGGAAAGAAAAAAATCTAAATATATAGGAAATGGGGGAACTTGGTCTTTAAGCTTTTATTATTGTCAGTAATCCAAACTAATGTTTTGCTGTTGGATTTTTTTCATTCTTTTTCAACACAGGAGCATTTTTATGATCCATTATCACATTCTGGATTCCTGGAAATGAGACTGCGTAATATCCGTCGAAAGCTTGAAGCGGGTCAGCGTCGTTACTCAAAGCGCAAGATAAGCTGTGATACTGGAATGGAATCAGAACAGGACCAGGGGGAGAGCAGTGCAACCAATGAGTGGATCACCCTCATGAAACGACTCAGGCCCTCTTCAGAGAACATCTCTTCAATTAAATCTGCTATGGAAAACACGTACACAAGGCGTAGGTCATGGATATCAAAAAAGAATCCCACAATGGCTGAAATTTTGGAAGAATATCCACGCTTTCTGGACATGCCTAATCTGGTAGGCCTCATCATTTTCCTTCTTTAGTTAAAGCAAATGCCTGATGTCATTAATAACTGTTGATGTATAGTTTAAAACAACTTCTCTTTTTATTTAAGCTGGATATTGAGTTCGGAAGAATGACTCATGGCAAGACGGAGCTGTTTATCAGACGATGGGAAGTCAGCATAATTCCAAAACTGAAATCTTTGGCTACCATGGAAGGAGGGGATGTTTCATTGCTAACAGAGGGGATGGAAGACCAAACTGATGGTATGTGTTTTCTCCTTTGAAAGTGTCTGCTGTGTAACACTTATTAATGTATTAATCCTGAATATCTGCTGGTGTGTACAAAATTATTACCCTTTCAAAATTCTGTCTGTTTTTAAGAGCTATTCCATTCAGAAACTGTTTTATTGGTCACCAAGTTTCATTTGCAGGCAGAACGTGAAAATAGTCTTAACTCTTCTTTCCTGCATTAGCTGCAAATAGAAAATCTAATGGTCCATCCATCTGTCTAAATATGTCCATCCTTACATCTGTCCAAACAGACATGCCAGTCCATTTTTCTGTCCAAACATGCATCTGTCTGTTCATCCATCTTTCCCACACTGCATTGACCTGACTACAAATATACATCCAAAGTGCTAACTTGCTAAAAGCACTTCTCATCTTTAATATACATCCAAATGCGTCCATCACTTTGTCCATTTTTCCATCTTTTTAACAACGCATCTACCTGTCCAACCAGATGCTTACTAGGGTTGGGCATCGTTTGATTTTAAATGATTCTGATTCAAATTCCTCATTTTGATTGCAGTTCCTATCGATTCCCGATTCCATCAAGACATGACATGTTTTACATGAGCTAGCTAACCACAGGTCCTACTTGATGAAATAATCTTAACTTCAACATGAATTTTAATTCTATGTAAAATACCATCACCTTCATTTTGACAAAACAATGTTTTGGAGAGAAAAAAAAGAAAAAGACTTGCAGCACAACCAGTGTTGGCAATCTTTTGATTTTGAATATCATCTTAATTTGTCCTTTCAATAAAATATAATAATTACACAATAAATTAGAAAGTTTTAAAATGCCAGAGAAAAACTTATTTTTCTGAGAAACTTCTCAAAATAACGTGTGGAACCCTTCCTCCTCCAATCTGCAATCTCCAGTGTCTGGTGCCTTCTGGTTTAAACCAGCCAATCAGCAAGCAGGTCATTAGCATATTAATTTCCTGGCCAAGTGGGAGGGTTAAATTGCTCTTTTCAGAGCAAGGCTGATTTAGGGGGTTAGAATGGCCTGTATCAATTTCTGAATGGTGAAAACTCCAGAAAGTTACTTTAAGAGTTGTGCCTAATTTTAAATTTGCCTAATTTAAAATTTTTAAATATATTTGTGTGCCTGTTCTATTTTTTCCCCAGATGAAAAGTGCTACACAATGCTGGTTGTTCTCACACATCTTCTGCCACCATTGCCTGGGAGTCGATGCAGCATTAAGTCTGCAATATCGTTCCTGGTTGATTTTGTACCGGTATGTATTCAATTCAATTAAAGTTTGTTTATATAGCACCAAATTACGACAAGAGTCGTCTCAAGACACTTAACATGGTAAACATTCCAACACAGGTCAGTTCATTAAGTCGATCAGAAAAAAGTAACCTATATAAGGAACCCAGCCATGGGTTGCTGCCTGGTGGCTGCCTGGTGGCTGCATTGCCCTTGAGTAGGTCTGGGTGGGTGCCTGGGGGCTCGGGGTGTGGGGGCGGCGGGTCCCTTGTGGGGATCTGGGCGGGGACTTGGGGATGGGGTCCTGACTTGTAAGCTGCCGGGAAGAAGACAGGAACAAGCGGCGGTGCATGGCCTAGGCTCAAGGGCCTCAGGTGGACCTTGGCTCCTCTGGAACAGAGGCAGAGACACAGAGGACTGTGGGGGGAAGTGGGCTTGTGTGGTTGCATCAGCTGGCGTAGGCCAGACGATGCCTGCACTGCCTGTTCACCACAGCCATGGAATACACCTCATCAACACCCACTAACACTGTATTGGAGCAGGTGGAAGAAGACTAGGGGTCTTAACACACCTCCGACGCTTGGCTTGCCAGGGCTGGAGGCTATGAGGGGGAGCTGGTCATCATGTTGGGGTCTGGGGTGGTGGCATGCTTTGCTCGGCGTTGGGTCCCTGTGCTCTGGGACAGCTCCTGGATCTCTGGGACTTGGAGCTCCCTCCATCTCCACATCTTTGGGGGGCAGATCTGTGACCCCTCACACTCTCTATTGTATGCTCCTATAGAGAAATCTTACATTTACAAGCGCGTGTTCGCACACAGGTGCTCACATGGTGCTCTCATAAGTATGGACTTGGGTATTGTCAACACATGTCTTGAGGCTGTGGTTGGCACTAAATGCATTATGATTTATTATCGTGTGATTGTTCAGTAAAACAATGTTGATTTTATATTTCCTCATCAGGTTGACGCAGTGATAGCTTGCTCCTGTTGTACTGTTGTGTGTTTTTTTTCTCTTTCTGCAGGTTATTGATTGCTTATTCTTGTGGGACCCCCCCCCCCTTGTTTCTTCCTTTCTTTCACCTCTGTCTCTGTGTCTGGTCAAAACTATAAAGCATTGAAAAAAACAATAACAATAAAGTTTTAAGTATCAGGCGTGACATTAAAGCAGAAGCTTTGATGCTCCACCTGAGAGTAAATCTGTAGGGCTTGTTACCAGCTTTAGACATTAATTCTGTTTGCTTCATAGCCAAACAGAACACGGGGGAAAGAATAAAGCTATTCCCTTTGATCTCACAAAATTCATATATTATTCTATCTTGCAGGCTGGGACCAGCATTGCGTCCCTCTGCAGCAACTCTGAGGTGGCACAAGGCACCCAACCACAGTTGATCTGCATCGGCAATTTGAAGAGTGCAACTCGCCAGTACATTATCGTTGCAAGCAATGACGGTGTGACCATTCCAGTAAATGATGGCCTGACATGTGCATTGGACAAGCTGTTCAAGCTCTACTGGGTTTGCAACTTGGCCTATCCACCCCAGCTCAGCTCTGTGTTCACTTTCTTCGAATACATCTACGAAGTTACCATCTCAACCAACCGGAAAGCCAAGGTACTGGAACTGATCTCCAAGCTTCAAGCTGCACAGTAAAGCACTATCATGTACACATGTCCAAAGTGTAAACAATTGATATCGACACAAGTTAAGACAGTAATTTGGCATCTGCGTGAAGTTCATGCCTTATCAGATGGACAGGGTTTCACTTTAATTTGCAGCCAAGAAGGCTGCCCTCGGACATATCAGAACTTCAATTCTTTTTCTAAACATCTTCATCGGGACCACCAACCCACAACATTAATGGACACTGTGCCATTTCAGGCTCATGACAGCAGATCATCTGCCACATCTGAAACTAACACTTATAATATTGAGGAAACATCAAACGTTTCAACTGTACCATTAACACCTACTCTTTCCAGTGATTGTGTTGCTTCTTTTGTAGCAAAAATGTACTCTTCTTCAAACACAACTTTGATGGATGTAGCAAGAAGCATTACTTGCACACAAGAAGTACTTGAAAGAACAATTGAAAGTCTACAACAATCGACAACTACATTGCTGAATAACTTCCAAGTACCACTTCATAGTGAGTCTGTCCAGTCATTAATGAGTGAATTTGAGAGTGCTAAACATATGTTTAAAGATGTTGACACACCTTTTAAAATAAATAAGTATCTCTCAGAAAATTTTGATCTTGTGAAGCCAAAAGAAATATTTCTTGGTCATAGGGCAGACACAGCAAGAAAACAGGGACAAATGAAACAAGTGTTGGCAGCTGACACATGTCAATACATTTCAGTAATTGATACTATTAAATTTTTATTCAGTAATGTCCAGATGCAGAAAGAATACTTGCAAAGTAACAAACAATTTGATGGTAAAATGCACAACTACTGTGATGGGTCACACTTTTCCTCTCACCCATTGTTTAGCAGATGTCCTCAAGCTCTTCAAATACAGTTGTATTTTGATGACTTAGAAACTGTAAACCCCTTGGGCTCCAAAACTAAAATTCATAAAATGGGTGCTGTTTATTTTGCCTTAAAGAATCTGCCACCAAAACATAATTTGTCCCTCTCACATATTCATTTATGTCTTCTTTTTAATTCTATGGACAGAGACAAATATGGGTTTGGTAAGATTTTGGAACCACTGCTTGATGACGTCAAACTTCTTGAAAGATCAGGTGTACAGGTAGAGATCCAAGGAGAAAGTTATCAGCTCTATGGAACTATCTGTGTTTTGACTGCAGACAATTTGGCCGTCCATTCCCTATGTGGGTATGTTGAGAGCTTTTCTGCAAACAAGTTCTGCCACTTCTGCCTTGTTGATAAAAATCTTGCGCAGACTGTTTTTGATGAGGATGAGCTTGAGAAACGCACTAGAGAGAATTATCAGCAGCGTGTCTGGCATAATGATCCTAGCTCAACTGGAGTTAAAGAAGACTCCTGTTTGAATAAACTGCAGTATTTCCATGTGACAGAGAACACATGTGTCGACATTATGCACGATATTCTCGAAGGTGTAGCCCCTTTAGAGGTGAGATTAATGTTACACCACTTCATTTATGAAGAAAAGATATTTTCTCTTGAACTGGTTAATCATAGAATCACCAGTTTTGACTATGGATATGGAAATGAAAAAAATAAGCCAAGTGTTATTCTCAATCTGAGAACTTCTGACAATGCAATTAAACAAACAGCATCACAAATGTGGTGCCTTTTGCAGGTGTTGCCCTTTTTCATCGGCAATCTTGTTGACAGGAAAAGTCAACATTGGCATTTGTTTATCCTGCTGAGGGAAATATGTAGCATTGTCTTTGCACCAACTGTCACACTAGGGCTTGCTGTATTTCTGAAACAGCTCATTATAGAGCACCATGTATTATTTAAAAAAATCTATGACAGAAATTTGATTCCTAAACACCACTTTATGATTCACTATCCAAGGATGATTGTTATGTTTGGACCCATTTCTCAACTATGGTGTATGAGATTTGAGGCAAAACACAATCCATTAAAAAGACATGCCCACGTGGTTGGCAACTTTAAAAATATTTCTAAAACACTGAGCTATAAGCATCAGGTTCAGCAGATGTATAGTTTCAAGTTAAGTGACCCTTTTTCTCAGAAAATAGATGTCACTAACACATGTCTTGTTACGATCACCTCTTTGGAGAAAGCAGAAGTAATACTGGACAATCTCAGAACAATACACCATGACTTGACTTTAAACAGCAGTGTTTATGTTACTCACACTGTTGGTGTGCTTGGGCAAACTTACAAAACAGGCACTGTACTGACACTTAAAGTAAACAATAAAGGAGACCCTTTGTTTGGCGAGATCATCTGTATCATGCCACAGACCGATACAGGATCATTTATGATATTTGTGAAAATCATAACAGTAAAGTACTTTGATGAACATTTTTATGCGTATGCTGTAAAAGAAACAAACGACTATGAAATGATCAGCATGGCTGATTTGGCACATTATAAGCCTTTAGACATAATGTTAGCTTTTAAAACAGATGAAATGTATTTGAGCCCAAGATACAAAATGTTTTAATTTCTTAAAACAGGATGAACAGATATATTATTGAACATGTTTTAAAAAGACAATACATTCTTAAGACCCAACAAAATGTATAACAAACAGAGAAATGATACTTCTGCAAATGAAACATTTAAATTTTCTGACACTTGAAACAAAAAGTTATGATTGGTGGGATTGAAAATGTCTATTGTTCTCAGCATGTAATAAACTTAGAAAAGGTATCATTACTGCAAAAAGTGTTTGTTGTTTGGTTAATTTGTTTTATATTGTTTAGTAATCAGTTTATTGCTGGTATTGCATGGTTAAAGTTTTAAACTTAGTTTAAAGCACTAAATGGTTTAAAAAAAGCACAAAGGTTTGTAATATGTTTTTACACTTCCAAAAGACTTATTCAACACAGTGGGAATGTGTTTATTTGCTATGGTTTTGTAGCAGTAATTTCTTATTTCATTGTGTTTCTATGCATATGCTAAGATAAGTACATTTCAAAAAGTATTTTCATCTTTCATGTTGTGTTTTTATGTGAAAATCAAAAATAAACTTTTTTTAAAGCAGTCCTAATTTTATTTTGTTTGACTAATTTACATTAAAAGCTACACTTGGCTTACACATTTAATGTGTAAAAACAACACATTTTAGCATTAAGCTAACTAACACAATTTGTGCGTTAAAATGGCTCACACATTTAATGTGTTGAAATTAACTCAACATGTGTTGTCCCTGATCACACTCCGCACATGTGTTAAAAAATAACACAACATGTGTCATTTTTGACACGTGTTTTTGCTGTGTACGCTAACCCCCGCTTGCCCTTTTCACTTATCATCCTAAAAAGTCTGCTGTATTTTCTTAAAACACATGGGAAAAAACTAAACCTCCAAATTTTTCAAAAGTCTAAAGGTGTGGGCGTGGCTAAGCTTCAAATATTGACCTGACACCATGAAACTTCTTGGTTTTATAACTTCCACACATACATGATCAGAGCTATCGGCGACATAAAAGAAGACCCAGGACACGCTGAAGGGACTATGTCTCTTAGCTGGCCAGGAAACACCTTGGGATTCACCCGGAAGAGCTGACCCAAGTGGCTGGGGAGAGGTAAGTCTTGAGCCTCCCTGCTTAGGCTGCTGCCCCCGCAACCCGACTCCAGAAAAACAGACGGAAATGGAAGGATGGATGGATGGTTTTCATGGTCTGCTCACATTCTCGTGCAGATCAACTTGCCTTTCTCACATAGATCTGATAAAAGCTGGAGCTCTGTCAATGTGTGTGCACATGCACAATTCCACACTTCACCCCGAGCAGGGTGGACATGAGAAATTATGTTGATAATGTTGTGGATAAAAATGAATGATTGCCTCAATTATAAAAGCTGCTCCTGTAGCTGATAAGAAATGGTTTGTGTGAGTTGTTCCTTCACTTAACCTCTCTGTTAATAAATCAATAAGAGAAGAACACTGGCTAAAACAAGTACTGATTATCACTGCCACCAAAAGGTGAAAGGTGTGTGACGATGTTGTGGTCTGCTCGCAAACTACTTCATAAACCAGAAGGTAATTACTGGGTGAACACTTATGTCTCTAACTCACTGCAGTTTTACACAAATTACAGCTGCAATGCTAGACCTGCCACATATCTTTCTAACCAGTGTTGGGAACGTTACTTTAAAAAAGTAATTAGCTATAGTTACTGATTACTTTGTCAAAAAAGTAACTCAATTACTGAGTTACAAGATTATAAAAGTAACTAATTACCAAGAAAAATAACTACTTAGTTACTTTTTCATTAAAGCATGCAAGAATTACTACAATAGTGAAATATAAATGACTAATGACTGGAACATAATAAAATGTCCAAATGTTTTTTATAAACCTGAATAATTTAAATAAATAAGCACTTAACAGGACAAACTACTAACAGGAGCATTACACTTATCTAGACTATTAAAAGGTCACTGTGCGATATTTAACAAGACCCCAATCAGCTAAAATTTAAAATTGCAAATAGAAACACCTGTAAAGGTTCCCGAGCCTTTAAATGGTCTCTCAGTCTAGTTAAATTACAGAAATGAATGTAATTTTGTACAGCAGTTTAATTTTTCCAGCTTCACATAATTATGTGTTTTAGTAGCATTTCTGTTGCTGGTAATCTAGTAACGGTTAAATAAATAAATAAAATCCTTTAAAATGACACTAGAAGAGGCACAAGCCTGATGGAGGACTTACATTTACCAACGTGGGTCAGATCCAACCACAGAAGAGCTGAAGCTGGGTGGTAAACACACACAGGTAGTTCTAATAACACCTGAGCTCCATGACGTCTGAGACTGATGCATCAGTGTTACAGCGGGACTAAAGACATGATCAGAAACAGGTTACAGCTGGATGAGCTAGGAAGGTAGAAGATCAGGACGTCTGAACGGTGAACAGGTGAGTGGACCTTCAGGACGTCCCGCTGTCACGCTAAGAAGGGCACGGCTGCAGACCCGCAGATTCGCTGCTGCAGATTCCCACCTGCAGCAGCGAATCTGCGGGGGG